TTTCAGTCATGGCTTTTCTGTAAATCTTGCCTGTATCCTTTGCTCCAGTATAGATGACCTTGCATTTGGCTGTATTGAAATGCTTTGTGTTTGTTGGTGCCCACTTTTCCAGAGTGACTTTGTGTCATTCTGTTTATGAAGATATCATTCTGTATCAAATCAGATGCCTTAGAAGTCCAAGTGTAGTGCATACACAGTATTATTAATCAAACCTATAATCTCAAAACACCGAGTTTCATTTTCTTCCTGTTGATATTGTGATTGTGTTGCATTGTAGTGCTACAATACATGTATTATCCTTACATATATATCCTCAATTAATTATTTATTGGGTCCTCAATCAATTTTATTTTACCTCAGTATTATATCAAGTAGCCTACAGTTCTCAGGTCACCCCCAGTTTACTTCTATTTTAATTTTTGGCATAATCTTTTCTCTTTTCTTGTCCTCTAGACTTTTCTCCGTGATCAAAATGTATTGAAAATCAATATTAATGTTTCAGAGAGCTTCTTAGCCAGTTTGTTTAAAACTCTTTAGATGTAAGGTATTTGGATGTGATTTAAAAATGTCTAGCTTTAATAGCAGTTGTTAACATAAATGCAGTGTAACACAGCAGTTCAGTAGTATAGCTTGGAAGAGGACTTGGGCCTCCTGACTTCCAATTCAATGCTCTATTCATGGATTAACCTGCCCCCTGGCTGAAAAGCATATTCTGTCTGTCTGCCCCCTTCCTGTCTAGTCTGAGTAGTTCCCTCCTGTCTCTAGAAGTCTACAGAAACGGTATTTAATTTTCCCACTCTAAAAATAAACTGTTTTCGAAGAACAAAACAAACATAGGCTGATGTTGATAGACAACTAGTTCAAAATACTGAAGGCTAGTGACTCGCATTCTCATGTCTTAGATTTAATGGACACAGATACCTCTCGTTTGATGCTTGTATGCTGTAAAGAAGGCCAAGTTTTGTTTCAGTTGGCACAGATCTGTCTGAATTCCAGTTCTGGCACTGCTCCTGACAGCTGCTCTGTCCGATTCCTTCCATGCCTCTCAAATGGAAGTGGCTCTTGCCTATCTCAATGAAAGGCACTAGAAAAAAGAGTGCTATGTTGTTTTATTCCCCTCTCTCTAGTTTGCTAAAAGTTTAAAGAGGAGGCATGGCAAATTGATAGTACAGTGCTGAGCTGTTGCACAAGAACCTTTCCTTCAAAGTAATAAATGATCCCAAACACTCAATGGGAGAAATTTAACACATGTTTGAAGACTTGGTGAACCTAGACTTTGTATTAGCCCTCTAGAGACAGGTGACTTTCACCTTGTATGATCAGTGTCAAACCCATTTATGGAGGGGCATTGCAATTTCTCTAGCAGGAAGAAGATAGCAATGTGACTGGGGGAACAAACAAATTAAATGTTCCTATATAGTTCTGGTCAACCCTTTTCTGTCAAGCACATGGATTGGCATGCTACCAGCATTTAATTAAGTAGAAAGCAAACCACACAATATATTCCTCTTCACCTAAACTGTGGTTCTGGGCATGGCTGATTGCAAACTGTGTAGTAGACTGTCCGGGGTTATCTAGCCAAGCTTTCCAAAAATGAGGTAACGATCAAATTCTGTTCACTTCACTCACGCAGGTAGCCCCCCTCCACTTGTGTAAATGAAGATGTTGGATGAAGGCAAGCTCAATGAAAAAACACAGTGATGCATATTTATGCAATGACAATTTAAACTCTGACCCTGGGACCAGATTTTTTTCAAACTCAAGGACTGATTCCACCTGCCTGTGTCATCTGATGTAGTGAGCTCAGACTCATAAAAGCTCATGCTGTACATCTCTGATGTAGTTGGTCTATAAGGTGCCTTCTGCCTGACTTGAATCTAAACATGGCTAGCTACCTCTCAGTAACTTAACTTGTGCAAATAATTCCTATTGACCTCAACAAGTCTATTCACATGATTCCATTTAAGCGTATACCTAAGGGTGTGCAAGGCTGTAGTCTGAGAAGCTACATTTAGGTGGGGAGACGCACGTGTGTGCGTGTGTGTGTGCACATGTGCATTTAGGCAAAATAAGGCAACTAATAAAAATACGTTTAACTCCAGAATTTTCAAGCGCTTGCAAGTTCATTAATTTATTATGGGTTGTAGGTGTTCAGAGTCCAGGCCACTCCTATTTAGATACTTAAATATGGAGACAGATACCTAACTTAATTCACCCAAGTATGAAATTATTGGTTTCGCATTTTAGGAATCTGCATTCTGCATTGTCCCCATGTCAATGCCAGGCCAATGCACTGCACATGAAATCTGGGGCCCAGAATCACCCTTTGAGTAATTTAGGTCCAGAGTGTGTATTGACTTACCAGCATTTCATGCTTAAGTTGCATGATGAAAATTAAAGTAAAAGCCCAGAAAAATGTTGGTGAAATGATTTCCATGCAGAAAAAGAACCCTGCTATCTACCATTCATGTCTACCTTCTCTTCTGAGGATGGCTGGAATACAGACTTTTTTCTCCTTAAATTTATTTGGGTATTTGTGGCCCACTGAGTATTGACATTGACTGCAGTGGGTGAAATCTCAGCTCCCATGTCATTGTAACTTGGAGTTTCTAATGTAACTCAACAATCTAATTAAAGAGAATTAAACAATATGAGAGCTAATTAAAGAAAGTGTGTGGGAGCAAGCAAAAACATAGGAAGCAAAATGTCTGAGATCAAGTAGACCGCACTGATCTCTATGCATACTGGAAAGGAAATTCAAAAGATATCCAGTTTAGCAGGCTGGATACATCTAAGCACCCTTTCTATACTGAAGGGAGGAAGAATTATAGATGTAACAAGCTAAGTTTATTTCTTTTCAAATAGTGAAGAGTAACAGGGTGAGCTCTTCAAATTTCTAGCTAACTTTCTGCTCTTTCCTTCCCAGACAGTGGCTGGGAAGGAACTGCCCAATACTGCTCTTTTTGGGACACTGGCAATAATCCTTCTCATTCAGTTAGCACATTTCATTTTGCTAAGCAGAGGGTGGTTATGCAGTCATGGGAGCCCTCATTTCGCAAGTCAGTGCACCTACTCTCTTGTCTACATTATTTTGAGAACCTAAGTAGTGCTTTGTTGTCTAGGTTCAGAGGTTATTCTTGCTGCAAAGTGCTTCACTTGAGCTAATTATATGTACCATGTATTTCAAAAAGAAAAATGTTGTTAGGTTAGGTTTCTTCACTAAGTCTATAGTGCACTGAAAACCACTGCTCCCTATTATATCATCCTTATGCAATTCCTCTTGTACTCCACACGCTAGCAACAGGATAGATGTAAATCAGGGCAATGTACATCATGATTTAAAGCACAGAGTGGAATGCCTTGATTTAAATAATTGATTTAAACAACTTTTCTACGTACTTCATTAATTTTCTAAGGAGGAACACGTTCTTTTGGCTGATCGAAACAGGTAGTTTTACAACTAAATAGAGCTCTTACTTTAGATTTGGTGCATCTTTTAGCTACTTTGGAGGGTAGGCTAATAACTATACACATTATTGAAGCAATTATATAGCTTAATATTTTTAGATTTATATAAATGTTTAGTATGTTAGAAAATGATGAATGACATATTGCTTATTTACTAAATTACTTGTGTATTAGATGGCTTATTTGTTAACTTTTGCTCACGATTTGTGTGAAGTAGCTGCATTAGGATGGTAACTTGTGTTTAAAACAACCTGTTTTTACAAAGAAACCATCTTATTATGCTTTAAACTATAAAATGAAAACCCAATTTAAAAATCCTTTTCAATTGAAAAAGTCATTGATTTTTTTTTTTCTTTTTATCATTGTGCTCCCAAAAAGACTTATGCTTCTTGCGAGCTTGGCACTTCTTGAGCCCTGGAGAAGCAAGGAATTGACAAAGGTATCATGGATTCTTTTTATATTTGGTCAAGAACATTGTGTATTTTACCAAAAAAAAAAAAAGTGTACAAATATCTCCTGGGGGAAAATGCTCTGTGGGTGAAAAGCTATTTTTTTCATCTGCTAAGAAGCTGACAAAGAACTAAGAGCTGTAAGCACATAACTAAAATCCTAGGATACCCACATGGTATAAAACAAAGAAAAATGTGGCCCTTATTTATAATCCTCCTCCAATATTTACCAAAAATTGTCACTTAATTCAGCTTCTTCATATTTTGCAGGTGCCCTTATGTTTTGAAAGAGTTTGGGGCTGTAAAACAGTTCATTTGATGCAGCTGTCTTTAAACAGTTTCAAGCAAGAAGGAATTGTAACCTTCTGTAATTATTTTCCAAATCTTCCTGCTGTGTATGTTCTAAACTAGCCAGCTATTTTGATGAATTTCTAAACCACCAATGACTTTTTAAAAATATATTTTACCCTCATTCTTCATTGTTGACTGAACTGGTTAATTTAAAACAGATTAAGCTGGGGTTTCATTAAATGTCCTGAGAGTGCCCATGAAACTTAAAACCAGTCTCATCTCAGAGAACTGTAATTGAATTGGAAAAGTCAGATTTGAGTGGAGGGACTATCAGAGAATGAAAAAAATATAGGGTAGGGGGATGTTTCTGATTTTAAGGAGACATCACAAATAAAGACTTAAAAAACAAATACACACAACTCTCCCCACTCCTCTCCCCTGCCCCCAGCCCCCAAGATAAAACACCCTTCCTCAAACTGTATTTTCCCTGATATATTTAGATTATTCTGTCTCCGGGGTAAACAAAATTGTATTGTTAAAAAAAAATCCCTTCTTATAAACTAATCTACAAAGCAGGGTTTAAAAATTAAACTGTTTCTACCTTGCTCTTTCAAAATGATTTAGATTGTCACCTTCTTATGCCTTATATCTGCATAAATTATTAAAGACCACAGTTATCTTGGAAGATTTGCCAGCTCTCTCAGTCCTTGCCATGGTTTGTTAAGCTAGTTTTAAAAAGGAAGCATGGTAGTATAAGAAACACAGTACAAAGCTCATATAAGTCAGGCTTACCTGTAGGTTTAGACAGCTGTAGGTAGCTTGGGTCTATGAAGTGTGGCAGGACGACAAAGGAAATCTTACCAACTTTGAAACTAGAATCTATTTTTAGGCTAGGATTTGCTGACTTTGACCTTGAATGCTACCCACTCCAAAGGGAGAATCTTTACATCTGCTGGTAAAACTGTTCCCTGATGTGACCTGAAACCTTAAACCTAGCAATCCAGTTACCTAGTTTGTGGCTTGAGTCAGATAATGTGACGTCTACATGTTGGCTGTAATGATAAATGAGAAGACATCTTTTTATCCTCTAGTTCCCTCTTCAAACCTGACGCTGAGTTTATTTCTGCCTGTATGGTCGAAGCACTTCACAGCTGTTTCTAGTCATGATCTTCTCTAGTGGCTTTGTGCCTACAACAGAACTGACCACAGAAGCAGTGGTGGTCAGAGATTCATTCAGCATACATTGCTTTCTGCTCTCAGGAGCTTCTTACCTCATACATTCACCTGATTTGCTGGCCAAGTGTCCCCTATCAGCTGTTGTGTCTCACTACAGTGCTGGCCACCCACAAAAGCTATCCAATTATTTAACTGCCTGCTTGGGCAGATGACCTTCAGCTTCCTGCTTTACCAGTCCTTGTGGACAGAAGTTGCCAAGAATCACAGATCCTCATGTGCAGGAGAGTAAGGGGTTAAAGGTGGGAAGGGAGCAATGCACTGTAGCCATTAGGAGAGAATCTGGTCATTGTAACTGGAGGTTGTCCAACATAGAGCCCATCCAAAACTAGGGCCTGCGCACACTTTGGAGGCTGCTATGGTCACGGAGGTGCAAAATAGTTGTGAGTCTATATAGAGGGTCTGCAGTTCGTCATGGCAATGACTTGTGGTTCTCTCTTTGTACTCCTGACTGTTCTCTGTCATCCAAGCCCCTTTCCTCATCCATCTCATTCTCAGACACATTCTTTGTCTAGGTCTCTGCCACAAATTGTAACATGGACTAGCTTGATACAAAAAAGAAAGTACAGGAAGTAATGGTAGTGAAGACATGTTGGCACATGTATTTCTTAGCAGTTGGAAGAATATGGATCCAGGGTCTCTGGAGAGGTTAGTGCTCTGTTGATGGCAGGTGTGAAAGCCTTAATTGCTTTGTCATCATTACTATCATTACCCAGCTTGTCTCGACCCTAACTTACTCTAGCTGCATCTCACCTTCATTTTGTGGGTTAAATGTAAGTGTGCTCGCTCGCTCGCTCTCTCTCTCAGCACTGAACCAGTGAGGCAGTCAATGAGGATTTCTGCAGCCAGAATTGTCTTTTTCTGTAAATTTGAGAGAACTTGCACCTCTAATTTTCTTTCCTTCTCTCTCTCTCTCTCTCTCACGCGCACACACACACACGCACACGCGCACACACACACACACACACACACACACACACACACACACACAGAGTTGGTAAAGAGGGAAGTTCAAAAGACTGATGAAGCCAGACCAAAAAAATAAATAAATAAATAAATAATAATAATAAAAAAATATATATATAAAATCTTTGGCCCAAGAAGGAATCGATTTATTTTTTTTCCTTTCTTTCCTTTTTTCCCAGTCTTGTTGTTCTGGCACTTTTGGAGTTACAATAGTAATGACCAGAAACACATCAGCAGAATTGGAACCAGAAAACTGCAGCATAAAAAGCCCAGCCCTTCTTTGTCCAGCTAAGTAGATCTTCTAAGGGTCTTGTCATATGGGACACTGACTATGTGTTAAATCTGTGCAGTATTAAAGTTAGAATGTGTCTTGAGCAGCTGCATGATAATGTTTACTATGATCTCTAACATGCAGTTTGCTGATTCCAGGTTCCAGCCCCAGCACCGTGCCAGATTCTTAAACTGGTTCCAGTGTGGTGCCAGACCTGGGACTGACTTCAGTTGATTGGATTGACATCACTGGACCCCCTTCAGTGAGGAGAAGAAGCAGGATTGGGCTCCAGGCAGGCTGTGGTGCTGTGATCCCATTAGGGCACGCTGATTATAAAGGAAAGTGCCGGATTGCAAACCAGCCCCTCTACTTGCTGCTGGCATGTACAACTTGAATGGGTGTGAGAGAGGCAGAGGTGGGGAGCAGGAACAACTGCAAAATGCTTGTGTTATCTTTGTGGAACAGTCTGAAAATAGCTGAGCATATATTATTTAATACAGTCTGGAGATGCTCCTTCTGTAAATAATTGTAATTTTGCTGCAATCCAAGCAGATTTAGCATGTGTTTTACTGCTTGAATGCACGGACACTTAAGTTTTAAGTGTAGTTAACGTGTCCTAAGTGTAACATGCGACATGGCCCTAAGGTGATAAATGCGGGTGGGGGGGTGGAGGCAGAAGGTGGGACAGATTTTAGGCTTTCCTGGGCTCCAAGCAATATGGTGCTACTCTTGCATTACTTCCCAGCTCTTCTACTCTGCCAGTGGTGCTGGCATAATCCATCCATTTACCATTTATCTTTTCTCACCAACATGCCCATATTACTTTGTGTGAATGAAATTACTTTCCTAGACTGGTACAATAATCTGCTACACATCCTTCCTCCACCTCCCTCCTGCCCCAGTACCTGCAGGAATTCAACCAGTTCAAAACACACAGCACTTGTGGACCCTTTATAGCACCCAAGTATCATTTTCCAAAGCATTCAAGTCCCAAGAGAAAAACTACTTATTTTTAAGTGATACTAAGGCTTCACCTATACAGTTTTGCCAGCCTACCTGTGTTGGCTACAGGTATATAAAGTTGCATCCCTTGTTACTGCAGCTATGCTAGCAAAAATCCTGCTGTGGATGCTGCTAGGCTGACAGAGGAGGGCTTCTCCTAATGTGGCTTGTATTGTTCATGGGAGATAGCATAACTACACTGGCCAAAACTTGCTTTCTATTAGCATATGCTGCATTTCACCAGTGGGCTCTGCTCACGTAGCTTTGCAGAGGCTGTATAGTTAGACAAGTCCTTCAGTTCCTATGTAACTAAGGCACTTTTGAAAAGGCTACCATGGCTGCTCTAATGCCACTTTTCTGTCTAGATTATAAAATCCCTTTGGATCAGGAAGTGGGGTTTTGCATGTATTGACATAACACCTCACCTAGCCCAGTGGGACCTTAGTTCTGACTCATGCAATACAGATGCTGAGGAATAACAACTAGTTTCATTTCAAGTTCTGGGCAATGGATCTGTTGCTATTTTATTCTAACAGGCTTACTCAAGCCAAGTTACTGTACTATAGAGCAGCCAAGCTTCCCATCCAATTATTCAGATAGTTGTCTTTAAAATTCAAAAGAGCTTAGATGTTAGAAACCTGCTGTGCCTTCTAAGTTACCTCAGAAGGTTATTGTACAAATTAATTCAATACTGACAACATAAAAACTCTGGGGACAAGATGATATAGGTCATATGTGACAGAAACTACAGCTCTGGTCATTTTATTTTTATCTTTGTAAGCTACCCAGTATGGGGGAATATAGGTAAAATGATACAGCATGGTAACAGAGCCCATAAGAAGAGATTATGTAATGTGTGCACAGTCTAATGTATGGATGGTGGGCATGGTGATGAATGGATGGTGGAATGGTTTTTTTTGTTAGCTGTCACTCAACAAGTTTGACTTTTTGACGTCAGATTGATGGCATGACAAGGGTTTGTGGTACTATTTTTTCAGGCTGACATCTTGAGTGCCCGGAATATTAAACTGAAACAGAAGTATTTGTTTGGCTCCCTGGCTGTCAAAACAATACAAGCCTTTGCTTCCCCTCTCTACCATCAAAGCAAAATACTTTGGAGTAGATTTTGACTCCTGGAAACATTAATCTATTTTTGGGACCAACTAGGTATGTTCTCATGAGATATATATATTTTGGTTAAGAAGTTAGGGGCCAGCATTTTCCACAGGGATTCGTGATTGTGGGTACCTCAAATGCTGGCTGTCCAACTCAAAATACTAGAGAGGAGCCCAGTTTAGAGAATGATCTGACCATCTGTTCCCAGGCTGTTCTAAAACAGTTCATACAGGATACCTAAAACAACAGTGTCTAGTGGCTTTTGAAAATCCTGGTCACAGTGGGTGACCTCCTGGATCATAGTTCCTTAGCATTGTGGCTAGAGGTCTGTGTGAATCTATTCTGATTTGTTCCCTTATGTAGGAGTGCTTGTACACATGATGAAAATTGGCTGTTTTGCAGTTTAATGGTGTCATGCTGTACACATGCGGGGGTTTTTTACAATTTAAATGAGTTTTTTACCTTGCAAACTAAATCACATCATCCACGTGTAGTTTAGTTTGGCACATAGCTATTATTAATGTTGTAGCCTTTTGACAGTTCACGCCCTGCCAACCTCTTGCTGCGGGAGAGGTGGGCTGAAGGCAGCAGTGGAAAGGGGCTGATCCTTTTCTTCCCCCCACACCTTCCCTCAGAGCCTGCCTGCCTCTCCCATGGTCGGGGGCAAGCCCCCAGTGGGGCCCTGGCCTGCAGCGGCCCTCATCCTTCCCTCTGCCATGGTTGCCTGGTCAGGTGCTGCTCAGCACCCACCTGCGCAACTCTGAGGGGTGCCACCACCATGGAAGAAAGGACCAGGGACCCCTGAAGCTCAGGGGCTGCTCACCCCCCAGCTGTGGGCAATGTGAGCAGGCTCAGCAAAAAAAAAAAAAAAAAGAGATCGGGTCCCTTAGTGTAACAGTAATGGAAGCCTCTAAATTGAAATTATGGGTTTTAATCGTCACAATTAAAAACCCGCTGGTTCAATTTAGGGGACTAAATCCCTGTCACGTGTACAAGCACCCTAGATGTCTGTAACAGAGAGCCTGGGTTCCTTTAAGGTAAAAGCGGCCAGACAGGGGCCAGGGGCCTGCTGCCCGAAAGGGGCACATCGCTACAGTAATACACATGAGGCTTGGGGTATGGTGTAGGGGAGGTTTTGGAGCCATGGAATTAGTCCCTAAGACTTTGGGTGTCCTGAAGTACACAGTTGACCAAAGAGGCCCAGTTAGGGGCCTGGGACTGGAGAGATTGTGGACCTGTGAATGAGAAGAGCCAGTGTGGTCCAGGGTAGGAG